CGCCAGGGATAGTACACAAGACATTAAACACCTGCTGCCTCCTCAGAGATGGAGTTCAAGTGTATAGGAACGTGGTCAGCCGCTGCTGCTGCTGCTGCTGCTGCTGCTGCAGTTGCTGCTGTTGCTGCTGCTGTTCTGCTGCTGCGGGTGACTTGGGTGGAGCTGACTTTATTGATGCTGCTACAGTTGGTTGTGGTAATATTGTTGCTGCGGTGATGCTGTTGCTGCTGCAGCGGCTACTGCTGCTGCTGTTCTTGCAAGTGCAGCAGCAGCAGGTGCCGCACCAGCAGCAGCACGCGCAGTCGCAGGAGGCGAAGGCAGGAACAGCTGGTGCACTAGCAGCAGCAGCAGCAGCAGCAGCAAGTGGTTTGATGCTTGTGTCTGTTTGCTGCTGCAGGTACCGCAGCAGGAGATTGCTGCAGTTTGGCGGCTGGTGCATGCACACTTCGGGCTGCTGATGGAGCGCGTGCTGCAGCAGCAGCAGCACCAGCATTGGCCTTATCAGCAATCTTCAATATTCAAATATGACGGCATTGCTTGCCGCAACTCCCCCTTGTGAGTTGCTGCTGCTGCTGCTGCGGCTGCTGCGTTTGCAGCCGGCGCTGTGCTGCTGCTGCTGCTGCTGCTGCTCTTTCTGTTTTGCTGCCTGTCGCTTGCTCTTTGCTGCGTATTTGTTTGTTTTTTGTTGTTGGTGTTCGCTTCTTGCTGCTGCTGCAGCAGCAGCCGTTTCTGCTGCAGCAGCAGCAGCCGTTTCTGCTGCAGCAGCAGCAGCAGCAGCAGAGACGGTGGCATTTGCGAGCCGCAGCAGCAACAAGAACAGCAGCAGCAGCATTGCACTGAGCAGCACCGGCAACAACAACAACAGCAGCAATAACAGCAGCCGTAGCAGCACCAGCTCCAGCAGCAGCAGCACGAACAACAACAGCAGCAGCAGCACCAACACCACCAGCAAGAGCAGCAGTAGCAGCAGCAGCAGCAGCAGCAGCAGCAGCAGCAGCAAATGTGTGGGTGTGTTGTTTGTAGGCGAGTGGATGTTAATGTCTCTGAGCCTCACCTTGAGTACGGCCAAGGACTTCTTCGAGAGACGCATGCGCTGCTGCGCAGCAAACTGCGTTTGCTGCTGCAGCGGGCTGCTGCAGCAATGGCGGTAGGCTTCAGCTCCTGGGAGAAGGTCGTTGTAAGGAGGCAGCAGCAGCAGCAGCAGCAGCAGTTGCTGCTTGATAGAGAGAAACGAGAACTCCAGAGAAATAGTGGGGGCAGCACAACGGCCAGCAACGCAACAGAGCTCGACGAGGATGACACACCCACCGCAGCAGCAGCAGCAGCAGCAGCAGCAAAAGGAGAAGACACAGCTAGCGGCAGAAGCAGCCCAGAGAAGGCGGGCCTGTGGGGTTTGGGATCGGACGATCCCACCTGCTGCTTTGTCAAGTCCGAGGGTGCTGCTGCGGAGTCTTCAGCCGCAGCAGGGCCTGATGCTGCTGCTGCTCCAGCAGCAGCAGCAGCAGCAGCAGAAATGCATGTAGAGCCTGCCTGGCAGCAGGTGACATGCGGCTATTTGATGTCTATGGGGCCCCACGACAACAACCAGAAGGTGCATTACGACTACCATGAAGAGGCACACAAGTAAGCTCATGCTGCTGCTGCTGCTGCTGCTGCTGCTGCTGCTGCTGCTGCAGTTGCTGCTGTAGTTGCTGCTGTAGTTGCTGCTGCAGCAGAAGCTTCTGCGACGCCCGCTCTCTCAGGCACAGGAGCAGCTGCTTACGTTGTACAAATATTAGAGTGATTACGTTCTCGTTCATATGCATGCAACTGCTGCTGCTGCTGCTGCTGCTGCTGCTGCTGCTGCTGCAGGCGTAACATTGTGAGCGCGTTTATTCCTCTGGTGAATTTAAGCAGCAGCAATTCGCCTACGACATTTTTTATTGGGTCTCATCCTGTCTCCTCCAACGCACAGGCGGGTATGAAGGCTTGCTATTATTTATTTATTTTAGTTTATTTAATTATTTATTTATTTTGTTTATTTGTTTGTTTGTTCGTTTATTTATTTATTTATTTATTTATTTATTTATTTATTTGTTTTGTTTGGATGTGTCTCTATTTGTGTGTCTCCTTTATCTGTCCCTTATCTCTCTGTTTAATTTAATTTAATTTAATTTAATTTAATTTAATTTAATTTAATTTAATTTAATTTTATTTAATTTTATTTAATTTTATTTTATTTTATTTCTTTTGCTCGTTTATTATATTATATAATTATTATTTGTAAGATATGTCTCCTTTTTTGTGTCTCTCCTTTTATGTGTGTCTTTTATCTCTTAATTTAACTTAATTTAATTTAATTATTTCTTTTAATATTATAATACTACCATATATATATATATATATTATTATATATTTGATGTGTCTCCTTTAATGTGTCTCCTCTATCGTTAATACAATATAATGTTAATACAATGTAATAGAGTATATATGATATAATGATATATAATATAATAAATATAACGATATATAATATAATATAATATAATACAATATAATATAATATAATATAATATAATATAATATAATATAATATAATATAATACAAGATAATGCAGTACAATACAATATAATACAATAATACATAATATTATTATTAATATAATACATAATATAATATAATATAATATAATATAATATAATATAATATAATACACTATAATATAATAAAATACAATACAATACAATATAATACAATATAATATAATAAAATACAATATAATACAATATAATATTATATATAATATAATATAATATAACATAATATAATATAATATAATATATCTTCTTACTTCTTCTTGTTCATTCCAGATAAGAAAGAGGCCCCACTGAAGAATATCTCCTCGCTTATTAATAGCGAGAGTGAAGTTAGGGCCGCACTGGAGTGTATGTACACCTCCGCCATTGATATTAATTCTTTGAGGCATTCTTGCTTGTCTTGTTGCTTCTCCTATGCCTAATTGACCCTCTGTAGACTTACCGAAGACATATAATGAAGAGTCTTCACGAATAATATATGTTAAGCCAATCCCGCAGTGTACAGACACAAGACGAGGCCCTTCTATAAACTCTTCTAATGATATCCATAGAGGCTGCAGATAAACAAATATTATTTTATTATTCTATTATATATATATATATTTTGTTATTTACATTCTTATTTGTTTATTTACTTGCTTCCTTAAGTAGTTAGTTAGCTAGTTAGTCTTTGTTTTTTTATTTATTTACTTATCTATTGTTTATTTATTTATTTATTTATTTTGTTTGTTTTATTATATGATGCGGCTGATGACCGGGGGGTTATAAAAGCGAAAGAAGAGAAAAAAAATAAAAAAAGAAAGAAAGAAAACAAAAAGAAGAGCGGAATAAAATAATAAAATAATAAGTAAGATGACCCAGCAACAAAAACAAAAAACACTAATCAAATAATATAAGTAAATTAACAATAAATAAATAAATTAATTAATTAATTAATAGATAAATAAATAAATAAATAAATAAAGACAACAATAGAACAGCTAAAGGCATATATATATATATATATGCAAATGTATATATTTATTTATTCTTCTGAACGTATGAATTGAATAGAAAGTTTGAAATAAAGATATATATATATACATATAGATATATATGTATATATATTTATTCTTCTTTCTTACTAAAGGTACATCGCTAATAACCCCCTTTAGATATATATGGTTTCCTCTACCCCACAAGTACAGACGACCAGCTTCATCAATCGCTGCATTGTGAAAGCCTCCAGCGCTGAAACAAATACAACAAAATTAATCGTTAAAGTAAAATAAATTTATTATTATACTAATTAAATAGAAAAAATCAAACAAAATTATGTAGATATATATATATTATAATAATTATTAAATTAATTATCTAAATTATATGCATGCAGATAATACCTGATAGTTTTAATGACAGCCTATATATATACACTCTATTTAATATATAATTAATTAAATTGAATAAGTAAATTATAAATATGCATGCAGGTAATACCTGATAGTTTTAATGACAGCCCCAGACTGTTTTTCTTTTGGATGAAGAAACCGCAGTGAAGTGGGTTCAGAAACAAAAGAGCGACGAGGGGCACATCCGCACTGTCCACTGCAAGCAAAGCAATAAAAATATAATATTATATATTTAAAATTAACTAATTATATTTAGGTATTCAAAACATATCTTCATCATCATGTATCTTACTAAAGCTGTCGATGGATATGCTTTTTAGAGGTGGTTTTGTTATGTTTGTATTTATAGAATTATTTACTTTATTATGCAGAAATAATAAACATATTTAATATATTTATATACATGTTTTATATTTAGTTAATATATATGTATACTTTACACTTTTAAAGATTTATTTGTTCATGCATGCACTCTACAATACCCAAATCAATATACCTGCATATTTTAACTGAAGCTTTTAAATACAAAAAGAAAAGAAAAAGAGAAGAAAAAGCAAAGAAAAACAAAGAGAACAACAACAAGAGGAAGAACAACAAAAAGAACAACGAGAAGGGATAAGAGAAGAAAAAGAAAAAAAGATAAAAAAGGAAGAAGAAAAAGAAAGATAAAAAAGAAGAAGATAAAAAAAGAACAAAAAAGAAAAAGAAAAAAGAAAAAGAAAAAAGAAAAAGAAAAAAGAAGAAAGGAGAGAGGGAAGAAGAGCAAGTGTAAGAAACACAACAAGAGAAACGACAAGAATAATAATAAGAATAAGAAGAAGAAGAAGAAGAATAAGAATAATAATAGTAATAATCATAAATAATAATAGTAGGAATAAGAATAAGAATAAGAATAATATAATAATAATAGCAATAATAACAATAACAATAATAATAATACTATAATAATAACGATAATACTACTACCACTACTAATAATAATAATAATAAAACAATCATAATAATAATAATAATAACAATAATAATAATAATAATAATAATAATAATAATAATAATAATAATAATAATAATAATAATAATAAAAGAAGAGCATTACTTCTTTACACTTGAATGAATCTGTTGCTTACTATTTATTGCCTCCCCAAGCGTAAACTTTTCCTTGTTGTGTTAAAAGTAAAGAATGATTAACTCCACAACAAATTTCTTTAACTTGTACAGGTTGTTTAAGACCAGTGATGGGGTGTATAGGGAGAGGAACGCCTTGTGCAGTGTCTATACACCCCAATTGCATGCAATCATTTAAACCGTATGAATAAACAAACCCTAAACCAGAGACTAATATTGTATGGAAGGCTCCGACTGCAATATATGATAAAGAAGAATGTTTATTAAATGATAATAAACGCCTTATTCCCTCGGCCCAGTCTAAAACAAACAAACAAACAAACAAACAAACAAACAAACAAACAAACAAACAAACAGCAAACAGAATAATAAACATAATTGTAAACAGATCTTATAATAAGCACATTTGCAGCAGCAAAGTATAAAGAATATATATATAATATATATATATATATATATCATTGCAGAGAATAATATTTTATCTTATTTAAAGGATATAACAATGCAATTATATATATTTAATATTTATTTATAAATGAATAAGGAGA